CATGTGCACCACCTGTCGGTTGGCCATGAGAAGTTGTCGGAGGAGTGCCAGTCTGCAACTGTCCTGGCATCCCAGCGTACCCATATGGCACAAAATAGCCCGGTTGGCCGTGTGGATTGTTGGTCCCTATTACAGATATGGTAATCTAACAGCAATATATCAAAGAGTGAATCACAGAATAATATGACAATATGGCGCTCAAGCTCTAAAGGTCGAATATCAAAGTTAACGCAAACCTAAACCTTACGCACATATATATAGGCGAAGGTAGGTTTGCATATAGGCTTTATGCCAGGAATATGGGCCTGACAACTTTGGCCTCATATCCTTTATACCTTAATAAATACAAAGCATGAATACATAAAGGTATAATAAAGGCTAAGCCATTACAAGACAAATGACAAACTTGATTCACAACAGAATAGTCTTCAACAATCTCCCCCTTTGTGATCAAGTGTCGTCTTGTTTTATCTCTGAGCTTTATAGTAACTTCTTCGAATCTTCAGCACATGCTCGTACAGTCTCAGTGACATTCTTTTGTCGAGTTGTTCATTATGGCTTTGAGGATGGTTTGTAGTCTGTCGTGCTCTTTTAGCTCTTCATCTGTAGCTTCGACAAGTCTTTGGTCAAGATCTTGTTTCATTGGTCGCAACATGTTCTCAATGATCTTCAATGTCCCATCGCAGTATTTGTGAATCTCGTTAGTAACCATCAGGCGCTTTTGTTGTTTGTGATTTAGATATACCACTGCAGGCGGAGTTTCAAAAATATGATCAACATTGAATTCTTTGAGCTCTGGTCCGTACAGCATAGGTCTTGCCAGGTTTACCTTAGAGACATTGTTTTCAAGGGCCATTTGGAGATCATGAACTGCGTGAAACCGGACTTGTCTAAGCATGAATCTCTTGATTGCATCAAAGCCTTCTCTGCAGACTTTGTCATGGCTGATTGGAAGATATGTGCAAGCCATGAACATTTGATAGACATCGTCCATTTTGAGCATCATAAGATCATTTTCTTAGCAGATAAATTCACTGGAGTTTGTGCGCCGAACTCTGAAACTGTAGAATTTGATGGTATGATGGTCCTCTTCTTGCACTTTTAGGATCTCACAAATGGGATGTATGCTTGTCCGTAGATCCTTCTCCAAGATTTCTCGTTGTTTGCCATTGAATCTATGACTGAGCATATGTAGATGTCCGCCTACTTGTTTTCCCTTAAGATGGGTGAGTCCTCGAAGTTTCAGCTCGTTTAGTTTCTTCACTTTTTCAAGTTTGCGCCATATTTGCTTTTTGAGTTCCTCTTGGAAGGGGGCATTCATCCGCACGTTTTCCCAGGGCTTCTCCTTTTGAGCATTTGAGCCGCTGATTGTCTAACTGTGGATTCAAGCTTGGAAGTTTTCTGGTGATCCTCCCCTTCTTTGAGTTCCTCTTCATCAAGCCTTATAATGTCAGCAGCACACTTTGCAATAAGTTCTCGAATCTACCAACTTCGTTGCATTTCATATTGTTCTTCTTCTTGTCTTATTTCGTCCCACTCTGCGCATTTGCGGGGTCGTTTGTCGTGTATAATGAGTTCTTCTAGTTCGTCGTGAATATCTATGGAGGGAGAGGTAGAGGATACTATTGCTGCCGACTCGCACCTTGTCGTTGGAAGTAAGACCGGTTTCACTCGGATTGCCCGTTGACATCAATTTTGAACTGGGTTCTGACTGATGGCCTGATTGTAAGGATGTACCTAAGGTAACATCATCAGGACTTCCATTCCCTCCTCGGTCTGTATCTCTAGGAGATAAGCCTCGGAATGTTTCGTCTAGCTCGACCAGGCTAGAAAGGTTCGCTTGGTTTTAGTTTTGGCTAAAGGAGGGTGGTTGTTGGTTGGTTGAGGATTCAGGTTAATCTGGTTGTGGGATGTGGCTAGTAGAAGCACCTTGCTCAAGTGTCCGTGGCCGCATGTTCTCCCCCTCATGAGGTTCCGAATCGTCAGGATCCTCATGCGAACGTTTGAGGCCATGGGAACTGTCACGACAAGTACTTTTGGTTTCAGGAGCATAGAGAAGAGCATGAAGAATGGCTCGTTGGTAAGAGCTAAGGTCGGCCTCGTCAATGGCTAGAAGTTTCGCTAGCATAGCAGATGCTAAGGCATCGAAGGATATGGTGAGGAGATCAAGGCGGGGTGTGGTCAGGATTGGGGATGATACTAGTTGTGTATCATGAGTTCCCCGTGAGTGGGTTGTGGGACTTAAAGAAATGGTTTGGGTATTGTCAGAATGGGAAGTAGGTGTGGGGGCCTGAAGTTGTTGGGAATGAGAGGGTGTGAGCTTAGGTTGGGGCTGAGGTTCGGGTTGTTCATTCTGAACCGTTGGGGTGCTCCTGAATTCCTATGCCCGAGCGGTTATTGCTGTGTGAACCCATGGTTTAATGGTGGAATCCTTGAAGGGATTCAGTAGAACGGCTAGATCTTCGGGTAGAGGGGTATCAGTTATGGGGGTTGTAACCGTTGTCACAGCATCAGTGAAGAGAACTAATGTATGGCCTGCGTTTAATGATGGAATCATTGATTGCGTAGTAGGGCTTCCGACTGTCATAGCGTGAATAGCGTAGATGTCCTAAAAAAGTCGGAAAATGTGGGAATTATGACACCTAGACTCGATGTGTTTGAAGGAGGGGTTGTGGCCTCGGGCGATGGACCACTAGTTCTCTCAACTGATCCAAAAGGGATCAGAGAGGTGGGTAATTCCCGTGATTTTGAAACTACAGCCTGTTGGGAGGCTGCAGAGTGGGTGGGAGATGGGTGTGCGTGAGCAGTTGAACTAGATGCTGCGACTTCTACCCGGGAACCGAAAAGATCGACTCCTGAACTTAAAGGCTCGGTTCGGCTTATCTGGATGAATGGTTGGCAGTCGGCGAAGATGTCCAAATCTACCTCATCGATCAAACTCCTTTTAATGAGTCGCCTTTTCTTAGGCTTGGATGATGGAGGAACACCATATCTGGCCTTTGCACGTCTTTTCTCGGATGATGACATTGTCATTGTTTTTTATAACGTGTTCAGCCTCATCATAATCCGATTTGGATCTATTGATTTCATCGTGCACGCTTTTTGACGTTCGAACGTTGACCAGAGGATTTGTGGCAAGTTGCGATGCAGATTGGTTCTCCTTTAGAGTGATTGTCGTAGATCGGGTTGCGAGAACACCCTGTGCCTCTTCGGCGGTAATCTTTTTGGGAGGCTCGAAAAGCATTTTTCCTTTGCGTATCATTGCATATGTAGCCTCAATATCGTCATCGTCATCATCATCATCCTCATCATCACTCCATGTGGCCACGCTATCAGATGCCTCCCCATCAACCGTTTTGCTGGTCGGGCTTGATGGTTCATCAGCAGGTTCCTCAGCGTTCGTCTGGGTGCCCTGAGTAGTCTGAGTCCTCTCGAAAGAGTTGTCAGACTGTTCTTCATGGGGCCGACGTGCCACTGGCTTCTGTGGCTTCTTGGTTTTCGTAGGACCCTCACATACACTCGGCTGAGTCTCCTGGGTAGATCCAGCTGGGATTTGCTGAATCATAGGGACTGTTCTCTCAAGATCTTCCTTGTATTGGACAACTGTGGGATTCAACTGGTTGGCAAGGTTGAGAAGGAAGGTCGGAATCCGCAGTCCAGGAGCAGTATGTTTATCGTGCTTGAAGTATTGTAGTTTGGGGGCTGCAAAATGTGGTTCATCACGACGTGCTGGTATGGAATTGGGTGCTTGCATAGTTTCGTGAATGAAGAGGCTCAGCCACCGTGCATAGGGAATTGTGTCCCTCTTGTTGTTCTCGTTAGCCTTCACCGGGTCCATTAGCTTTGTGAAGAAAAGCTGAGTCATGTCGTAGTTCTTGTTGAATGCAATTCCATGAAGGATTTGGAGGATCTGTTTGTTGCACTTGTCGAATCCAGCATGCTTGGGAGATAAGAACTTGTTGACCAGGCTGAAAAGACTCTTCCATGGGTGCCGCAAGTTGACCACACAAAAGTTTGATAGCATCGATAGCAGTGAATCATAGCTGAGATCCTCGATATCTTTGAGCAATTCTTTGGGAGGTGGAAGAGGATCATATGCATCGAGCACCGGCAGTTCTAGAGTCGTCCTAAACGTAGATGGGGTCATCACTATGCACATATTGTTGAGCTTTGTCAAAATCTTGGATCTGTCCTTCTTGGACTCCGTATGCATACACCCCCAAAACTGCTGTAAATATATCTCTGGCACCGGTTGAGCCTTGTGAAAAGCGGTCCAGAGATAGTGCCCTTGGGGATTGCTGGGATGACAGGGTCCTGGCACTTGAACACCTTAAGGTCAAGCTGGTAGTTGTTGTCATGCACCTTGATCCAATTTTCCCTCGAGAAGATGGTGTAGTCAATATCTGCTTGTTGGGTGCCTGACATTATGAATTGAAAAGGCATGGGTCAGCACGGATGTTCTTTTATTTTTGGTCCTTTTTCTGAAGTTTTGTTGTGTTTTTGTATTTTTCAAAAAAATGGAGCAGGTGAACTTCGACAAAAATTTTCAAAGGCAAAATCTCGAGATCGAGATCTCAAGGTTTAAATCTCGATATCACGATCTCAAGGTTTAAATCTCGAGATCCAGATCTCGAAGTTGAAACGACGAGATTGAGATCCTGAGATTTAACCTCGAGATTATGAATCTTGAGTTCGCCTCGAAGATCAACGACGATTTCCACCTGCAAAAACAACACATAACATAATATCGAAATGCATTGGAAACGTTTCGAGTTCTTCTGGTTCGAGAATAGGGTTTTCGAGTTTAATAAAAAAACGAGATTTCTTGAAACAGTTAGAACAAAATGGAAAACCAGGTCGTTATTGGTTGTGAGTGATCAAGAACGAACGAACTACCTTGAGATTGGTTTGGAGAAGAAAGGTTTTGGAGAAGAGAGAAGATTTCGAGTAGGAGAGAAGAGATCCTGGACTTCGAGAAACTGAGAGCGCGAGAAGAGAGAATGAATACAGAAAAGGTTCTTGAAGCCCTTATATATGCGAAAAAGATTTTGGGCCCTAAGAGAAAGATTTCGAGGCCCAAACCAATCTAATGATAATATGCTCCCCCTCGAATGATGCAAAAAAAAAATGAAAAACACACACAATGTACACATGCAACACATACTATTTTTGTCCTTTTTCTGATTTTCTCCCCCTCAACACATGCAACACACACAAAGGACAAAATACAACTCACACAAAGGACAAAATACAACTCACACAAAGTACAAAATACAACTCACACATACTCTTTTTGTCCGTTTTCCAATTTTCTCCCCCTTGACACATGCAATACACACATATTATCATGGCCAACCTACTATGGGGGTGTTTGGAACTGATTCTGCTTCTGCTTCTTTTTTAAAGGAGAAGCAGAATCAGAATCAGTTTTCAGAATCGGATCCAAACACCCCATATATTAGTAACATTGGTGGCCACATGAGATAGAGTATGTGCCAAATCTGCCATAGGGAAATTCGAAAGAGGCAGAGGTGCGGTTCTGGTTGCGGGAACAGAGGATGAAATCCCTGGAGAACCAACAAACGTGGGTCCCGAGAATTGAGCAATCGTCGGTACAGAGGGTTGAGTAGCCGTCGGTGCAGAGAAGGAGGGTGGCGGGTCCATGGAGGGTTGCGCAAATTGAGGCGACGCTGACCATGGAAAAGTCGGTGGCAGATTCTGAAATAGAGTGTAGCTTTGTCCCAAACCCTTCGACGGTGAGGTGAAAGAAGATGCCGACAGGGCGGTCGTGTCTGGCAGAACGACGGAAGGCTGCATTCCCGAGGAAGAAGGGGCGTCGGTCGAAGACAGAGAGACAGGAATACTGATGCTTGCTCGAGCCGGAGCAGAAGGTATTGTGGTGGTGGAGATAGCGGCTGTAGCGGTAGCCTTGGTAAAAGACACTGTGCGGCGATCGCAGAGAAGAAGGAGAGTCGGCCGAAGAAAAAAAATTAGGTTTAGACCTTAGCTCTGGATACCATGTGGAATAATGGAACAGGTAGACGGGTATATTTATAATAGGATAGTAATGTGTAAAATACATAAATAACCCTAGTCTATTATTTTCTCTGTTGAGCTATCCTTTTGCCAATATCCATCCATTATATGCTATTCACGACAAACTCTAGTTTCCCGCTAATCGTGGTACTAGCAAGTCCATTTTCGGATTGTTGGCGCATTATGCGCTGTCCCAAGAGTGGAAGTTGACCAACTATTAAGATGAAACACTCAATGGTCTTGTTGGTTCAGGCTCTAGTCGGTCTTGCTCAGCACACACAAACACGCTCATCGGATTCTCTCATAGTCAGCCAAATATTCTTTGGCCTAGCCTGTATCCTGGCCCATTGGATTTGGTGTTACCGCTTGGGCCTAACCCTTGCGTGCATAGCTGCTTTATCCAAGGTCTCTTAGGAGGTGTTGGACAGGCCCGTGTATTGCAGCCCAATAACCCAACAATTGTAATAATGTGCATATTATCATTTTAGAATGTACTTGATATTTCCTTTTTTGAGTCGTAATCTTGCCTCTATTCATATCATAAGTTTCAGGATCATTACATCAATCAAAGAAAACACAAAACTGACATCAACTAAACATCAATAACTATGACTGTAAATCCTATGATCAGACTTAGAGACGGTCACCTCTGAAAGAGCAACACGAATCGCAAACCATGCAGCGGGCTTGACACAGCCGTTTTTGTTCCCATAGATCCAAACATACTCAATGACATGAAAAAAGGCTACATTCCCAAACAAATTGACAAACCAACCGACATAGACGGTAGCAAGAAACCAAATGACAAAATAATAAAAACTAATAGGAAAACTTTCACGGACTCTAGCACCTCGTACAACCCCTGGTGGTGGTTCAGGAGGAGGCCGGACCACCGATATGATTGTTGACACACCAAAGCGGTTTTCCACCGGCTCGGCTGCCTCTTCTTCATCCTCATCGATCACCCGTTCGTCTGGTGCTTCACTGATGTCCAGGCCAACATGCTTCCGGATCAATTTATCCGCTGGACCCTCCCCCTCTCTGGGCGCCTCTTCTCCTTCCTTCCTCGGCTTCCACAAAGTTTTCTCCATTGGCCACCACAGCGAGGTATCAATGCAAGTCTACCGCTAGCGAGCGATTACCTTTCTCTGCTAAAATACGATCGCCGCACCAAAGATGGCAAAGCACGAACCCTAATGCAAGGGAGATGTCCATAGCGAGGTATTGTTGTGTACTTGAAATTTCCTTAAAAAAGAATGTACTTGATATAGTTGTACTAAACTTCCCTACTTTTGGGCTATAATCAATTAGATCAACTAATTGTAAGAAGCGCGAATGCTTCACATCGTTCATGTTTCTTCATTTCAGAAACTCAAAAGGCATCCAAAACACCTAAACTTCACATTCTTGTTCTGGCTCCATTTCTGTTATAAAAAGATTTAGAAACTTTCTTTCGCTAGTTAGAGCATGTTTGATAACACTCAAATTTGTTATATCGATTGATTCTGCTATAATTGATAAACTTCTGGCTGAATCAGCTAAATCTGCTGAATTATGAAAAAATTATATTGAAACCATATTGTATTAATAAAATAAAGAAAAAATTATATGAAAAATAACTAAAATCTCTTTTGTAGTAACTTCAACCAATTTAAAAAAGGGTAATTTGAGTTTGCACCCCATATTATTGTCTAAATTTGACTTTGCACCCCATTTTTAAAAATCTTTATTTTTGCACCCGAACCCCATATGAAAAGACCAAAATGCCCTCAATCAAGAATATGTTGAAGGCCAACGGAATTGCTAATGGAGGGGCATTTTTGTCTTTTCATATGGGGTTGGGTGCAAAAACAAAAGATTTTTAAAAACGGGGTGCAAAGTCCAATTTGGACAATGAAATGTGGTGCAAACTCAAATTACCCTTTAAAAAAACTTCAACCAATTTAAGCAAAAAAGTAATTTCAATCTTATAGTTCTTACTTATTTTGATTATTACACAATTAAGGGTTCGAAATCAAAATTAATGTATTTGGTGAAAATATTTATTGATAAGATGTTAGGCCGAAAATAGATCGCCAAACGGTCTTTTATTAGCATTTCAAATACCTTGGGTTACAATTTTTTTTTTTGAAAATGGTGCATGTTTTCTAAACATTAGTGCATCTCATGGTATTTCTACGTAGCAACAACACTTTGATATTTAATTCTTTTTAGACCTAGTAGTAAACCATCTAAAACATAAGCTAAGGAACATTCTCCCAATTTATTAGTGAAAGAGAAGTACATAGTAGGGCTGTAGTCAAAACCTACTAAAACCTAAAACAATTAGAGTAATATAGGAAAACCTATTGCATCAAATTTCCGGATGTTGGCAAAGTGTGTAGAGTTGGGGTTGTAGATAACTAGATATATCCTTAATTAATATCACAAAGACATTAAGCAGTTTTCCGTATATTCATGTTGGTCCAAAATAGGACGCTCGTAGGCTTTTAGGAAAGCAACGTACGACACTCTAGCAAGAATTAGGAAAGTAATACGAGAATGGAAAGTTGCAAAGTGAATTTGGTAGGCAGAAATAGCATATCTGTATTTGAAATTCGAATTGCCTTTTATAGGCGATTACAAATAGTAACTACCAAACATAATAATGACTAAATTATTTACAACATTAATACGGAATTAAGTACATAATTAATAGCGCGTTGATTGTTGGCTGTTACTCTTCCTGGCTGGCAGCTAGAACGCTTGAGCTGCTCAGACAGCAGACTTCCACTGGGCTGGAAGGCAGGCTCCCCGCTGGGCTGGAGGACAGGCTCCTCGCTAGGCCGAAAGGCAGGCTTCCGATTGGGCCAGTAGGCAGGCTCCCCGCTGGTCTGGAGGACAGGCTTCCCGTCGGGCTGGAGGACAGGCTCCTCGGGGCCTGGTCGATTAGGCTCTGGGCCTAGTCCTGTAACCCCATCACGAGTCCCCCACTCCCTTAGTCGAGTAGTAGACTCGGTTAAGAGGGAGTAGTCCAAGTCAGCTGCCCATTTAAAAAATATTCACATACCAGGGAGCAATAATTGTGGATTCTGTCAATCCCAAAATTCGTGGAGATTTCGTAATTTTAAACAAAGCTATTATCTTAAAAGGCTTCAAATTAGTTCCCTTAGCATCCTAGCATTCCCGCCATCAGTTTTCTCCTAGACTTCGAAATCCAGGCCAGCTTCCAAAAATTCCTGAAATTCATCATCATTATTTCATAATTATTTACGTACTTTATTTTGTTTTTCCTCTTTTTTTCCTTTTCTTTTCCTTTCTTTCCTATTCTTTTCTTTCCTTTTCTCTCTCCTGTTCTCTGCGTGCGTCTTCCTCGTGTCGCCCCAGCGCCGCAGTCAACCAGCGGACTGGGTTGACCGCCGTTTTTCTCCCAGCGGCTCCTGGCTTGACCTCTGCTGCGCCAAGCGGCTGTCTTGTGCCACCCACCGGTCGCCGATGTCGCCAATGCACTCTGGCAAATCTGGCCGGCGGGTCTGGGCTCCTGTGGTGGCCGGCGGATGCTACAGGGATTGGCGGCCGCCCCATTGTCTGACGTCGTCGCCCAGGAGGCTGGCAGCCAGACGGCCGGGCGACCAGGCGCCCTCAGGCCGGATGGATTTGTCCCTTTCACGGACGTCCAGGTTGTCCGAATCGCCGCCAAGTTCATCAGCTGCCAGTCGTCGTTGCGTAGGAAACCGAGCGACCAGGTGGTCCCCCGAGTTCAAGTTGGGCGGCACCGTCCCTTTCTTGGCCGGCCAAGCTGTCAGATGGCTGATGTCGGGCCTTGAATGAACTGGAGTTGAGGCAAGCTAACGCCCATATGAGCGGTTCCCTGCGATGCTAGGTATCACCTTGGCCGGGCAATGTTGGTTGGGGACCGGCGGCCGCGACTCTGCCGGTAGGCTTTGCTTAGGGAGCCGGTGGCCGTCCCACTGCTGGCCAGCATCGCCCTCCCCCTAGGCGACCAAGGTGGGCGCTCCCCTTCTCGACGCATTCCACGTTGATGGGCAAACTTGTCACTTTATCATTTTATTTTTATTTTTGAGATGCAGGTGTGATCTGCCCAGTTTGACCATGCAAGACGATGGACGCTCTCCCCATGAAAACAACGGTCATGTGGATTTGGGATTGTCAGCTAGTATTGAAGCAGAGCGCGGGGCGATCGCGAGACCCATGCAGGTCAGCCACGGCCCTCGCCCACGTATGCATGCGGGTGTTACTACTAGGCGGCAAGCCGAAGTTTTGCCTGAGTTGGCTCGAGCAAGGCGGATTGCTACTTCTGAGGGACGACCCCTCAATGTTCCAGACAGAGCACACATCCAACCTGTGAACGTACCACACTCTGATGATGATTCCGATACTCAGGCAGACCTGAATTCCTGGTGGGACCTTGATAGCAGCGGAATATCGGGCCTCCCTTCTCGCGTCACAGAAGAGGACATCGCCCTAGCATATAGTCTCATTGGTGATAATTGTTTGTTGGAACCTTCGGTGGCTACTAACGTAATGAGCGATCCACCAGTTCCCCTATTTCGGGGTCCATATCTGCTCTCTGGAGTTAGGGATGGCCGTGCCACTTCATCCCTTCCTGGTTCGACTTCTTCACTTCCTGGGTGTAGCACCGGGTCAATTAGCTCTAGCGGCTCACATGTTCGTTGCAGCTTTTGTGGCGCGATGTGGAGATGTGGGCCTCGCCACCACGATTGATTTGTTTTTTAGCTGCTTCCAGTGGCATGCTTCTAGCTTTTTCGCCTCAGTCTCCCAGAGGCCGGTGAGCAAACTGTTTCGGTCGGGTTACCCCGCTTCAGGCAAGGGGTGGAAGAAGGGATGGATATGGGTGTCCGACCCCAACCTCCCATCACCTCCGTTTCAGTGGGGTGAGCGGGTTCGGAAGTGTGACCGTGTCGCCCTCTCCCCTGATCTCAAATCCTCCATTGAGAAAATGTCCGCAGGTAGCCCCCACTCCATTAGCTACTATTTAGGTGAGTGTCACCTCTTTGGTCCGCGTTTGGCCACTTTGTATTTATTTTCCTTATCCTCATATTTTTCTTTTGCAGATGTGCCCGAGAAGCCCGCTGTCGAGGCCGAATCCGATGAGGAGGAGGAGCCTCAACAAGTCATCGCCCCTGCGGCTCCTGCGGCCGCGGAGGGGAAAGAGCATGGAGCCCCCTGGACCGTGCGGCGCATATCCCGAGAAGGGTGAGGGTTATCTTTGGGCCTCGGCCAGCTGTGCCAGTGCAGGAGAAGCACAAGGGGGGACTCGTCGACCTGCTAGTCGAATTGGACGGATCTGACGAGGAGGAGGAGGAGGAGCCTTGCCTAGCCGTTACTCTTGTGGCCCCTCAGGCTGTTGTGGGGAAAGAGCACGGAGCCCCCTCCCCGGGCCGAGAGGAACAAGTCTCGAAGAAGGCGGAGGTCGCCCCAGAGTTTCAGTCCGCTGAGCAGGTACATGAGG